CCCCCTTTTTTTTTTTTAAAAAAGCTACCTGGTTCTTTTCTCTGACTCCTATTCTTAGGAAAAGAAAAACAAAGCAGGTCATCAAGAGAGGCTTAGAACCACTGATCATTAACATTTTTAGCAGATTCGCTAGCTAAACAAAGTAATACACTCTGAACGCCATCCTGCCAACAGGCTACCAAACATTCAAGTACAAACATGATGTAAGGACTCTAAATACAGCTTCTGTAATAAAATACGGAGATCTGAGAATTAATGCTAAACATGGCAAACAAATTCCTCCACTTTCCAGCCTGCTAGAACATCCCAGATGAATGATTTGCCAAAAACATGACTTTGCATTTACAGCATATGACCTTTTCCCTCGTCGTCCTCCTCCAGTGCAGAGCAAATGATCGTGGAAGAGATCAGGGCTCTCATAAAACATGGTGACCTGCACAGGCTCTGCCTTCAGGGAGATATGAGGTTATACATAACCCTTCTCTGAATTGATGGCTTGGTTGAAAGTAAGACCACAGAAGACCTGTGACCTACTGGACTTCTTGGAACATCCGTTCTTCTGCTCCAGCACCAGAAAAGAAGCTATTCCCAACACCATCTTAGTTTTTTCTCCTGTATTGCAGCCTTTCCTGCATTCAGCTTCTACAGCTCACCAAGTTCATGGGTCATAATGACCCACACTTTTGTCCATTCCCGTGGTCTCTTCCTGTCCAACCTTCTCCAAATAACGGAAAGGCTGGTAGCTCACTTCTAGTCAGCACATTTTTCTCTTTCTAGATCTAGCCTCAGCCACTTTGTACAGGGGTGACTAGAGAGGTGAAAGTGGTCCCTCAAAGTCCCTTACTAAGGAAGCTTCAGGCAATGCATCAGGCAGGAATTGCTGCCAAAAGATCAAGTGACTTCAGAGGACTGCTGCAGAGTAGTATATTCCTGTCAGATTTTCTCTGCTCTTTCCCAGACTATAGGAGGGCAGCATACTGGTAACACGCATGCAGAAGTACTCAGGAGGAAATACACAGGGGACAAAACTAGGAAGAAAACGCTCCAGACGCCAAAGCAGGTTCTGTTTATCTTAAAGTAATCCAGATCTTACTCAAGTAAGAACAATTCGCTGAAGTTTCTATGTCTACTGCACACAGGGGTGCAGCGGGGAACATATCCCAGCAAAGCATTTTAAATACTACAGTACTGTATTGAAAATGTTTATAACAGACCAAGTCACTCTCTTACCTGAGGTATAATTGAAATTTTCCTCCGCAAGTCATGGAGCCCTAGCTCTGACGTCAGGTACTTATCAATCCAAATCTTTCCTTCAGGTTCCGCCAGGCGAAAGAGGGCTGCTATCAGAGAGCTCTTCCCAGCTCCTGTTCTTCCCACTATTCCAACCTACAGAGCAAGCCAAGGTTGTACCATTAAACCATGAGCTTTTCAGGATAAATTAATGTGTCAAGCAGCAGTTTTACAGCATCACAGGATTTATAGAACAAGCACCAAATAAAACTTCTTTATAATTAAAATTTTGAGAGGAAAAAGCCTCCCCCCAAATCAGTTTGGATTCAGGTGACATTTGGATACTCAACAATTTCTTGGATCATGTTCAAAGGTGAAAGATTTTCCCTTAACGTGTGGTGTTTTATTGTGTAAACAAGACACAGTGGCTCGGCGCATAGAGTAATGTGATTCAAGGCTGCTAATTCTTATACTAAACCTGGTTTGCTGAGCGATGTTAGGCAAATAATTTCAGGCATGCATCTACTTCTCAATCCAAAAAAGGACTCCCATAAAGCACTTTGGGAACAATGTATGAGCAGTATTCCCAATTTAAATAACTGAGACTTAATTTGGTTAGCATGGTTAATGAGAAGTACTTTTAAGTAGTCAAACTCTAAAGCCAAGACTAGCAGGATTATAAACCGTATTCATGCTTCAGAAAGTTTCAACAGAGAGGACACAAATATTGAAAGTACAAGGCCATGTGAGCAAGCTGCAATTTCCGATCAGAAGAAAGAGTGAATAATGTGATATTACTGTGATAATAAAATCACAGTGATTCAGGCTTCTGCATGTTCCGAGAGAAAAATACGAAGCTGTATGCAATGTGAAATTCTATTGCTTTCAGAAAAAAAGAGGTAGCAACAATGCAAAATGTAGGATTGCCAACTTCAGTGACAAAGGGTTAAGACCTACAAATATTTCATATGAAAGCCACACTTGGGAGAAAGCAAGTCCATTATAAATAAATGAGAGACATATAATTAGTGGTGATTAAATACTACTTCAACAGCAAACTTTTTTTTTTTTAAATGTTGTCTTCAGGTAAAGGATCCTTAGAGAAAGCAAAGTACAGTAATCAATCGTATCAGAGAAGGTGACGGGCGTAACCCTCTACACAGATCTGATCTGGCAGGATCAGTTATTTTCTGCATTCATTGATAATTGCCACATTTCCAGAAAGAAATCAACACACTGGAAAGAGTTCAGAGAAGTGCAACATAAAATTAATATGGGTTGGAGATACTGATTTGATGAGGATGGATTTCTGAGGATTAAACATATACAACATAGCCTGGCAAAGTGACTGGGGTGCAGAAGGGAGGAAGAAACACGAAAACCTTTGTGAACATACGTACAGACACCAGAGGGCAATTACCCACTGCCTGAGACTCAGATGTATGCAGTAATGACTGCTGGAATGAAATCAAGCAGAGGAAACATTACGTCGAAGAGCAAGGAGAAACGTTTTAACAGTCAGAGACACTAAGCTCAGACAAAGCAGCAGTACCCACAGCTGATCAAAAATATACAAAATACTAAAAAAGTATACTGCAAGGAGCAACTTACACTGCATAATCTAAAAGGTATTTTCTACTTCTACTTTCTGATTCAACAATTTCATCCAACAATTCATTATTGTACTATTGTATATAAACTACTTAACATTTATACAGTGCTTATTATTAAGGATACAGCCTAATTTAAGCAAGTCTGTCACAATAAATGATAAAATGTCTAGTATTCTAAATCATATATGTGAAATAAAGGAAAAATAGTTCTGAACAGTTACACTACAGTTCAGAAAGAAAATGCTGAATGGAGAACACAGACACTCAGAGCTGTGAAAACAAAAGTTCAATTGTTTCTCTGTAAATATCAGTGATATAAAGTATTGTAGTAAGGATATAAAGAAAACACATTAAAAATACATTGATACTTAAAATAAAAATGCAGCTGCTCTGCATATTGTCAAAATCCCACTTTCAGTTTGGCATCAAATGAAAGAACTATGCTCTCCAGTATTTAGAGGAATCTATTTGTATTTTTGGTCCAACTGACTACAGGCTGCTGAAGATTGACAAGAATTTGAAACAGCTCTCAGCACACACATTTATTTATTTTTTTTAATACATCATATTCTTCAGAGACCCATGTTCATAGCCAGTGCAAACACAGCGACGGTCTGCAAACAGGAGTCCCAGCCACCTAACAGGAATCCCACGGCCAGGATTTTGTTGCCCGATGTAAGCCATGTGCACACACAGCAGCACACCTGCTATGCCGGGCTCATCATTTACTCAAGCGTCACTCATACTTCCAAGCTGCACAAAAAACGAGTGAGATTTACAGCATGTCAGCTACTCCACTGAAACTGCCCAGGTCTTTGTTATCCCTCAGGCAACCTCCCTTTCGTGCTACCCTGCGAGAGTATTTACGCGAGCAGCTGCCACGCTGTAAATCTAGACCCTCACCCTCCTTACTTTTTCACGTAACCACACCCTCGGATTTAGGATCTGTCAGGACAAGGTGCATTTAACAATATATCAGTCAACAGGTATTCACAAGCACCCTAAAACAACAGTAGCGGTGTTTGAAAACTACGGCTGCCCATGCTAACCCTCTCCTGCTGCAGCTGCAGAGGCTGAAGCAGTTAATCACAGCAGCTGC